ATTCACATATTTAAATGGCAATTGAATACAACTTGTGAAAGGTGACCACAAATAGCTTGAACCTGTAAACTTGGAATCGAATTTAAACTAAGGCCCAATGATTCAATAACCATCATACATTTAACGTTGTCTGTATGGGTCTAGCTAGACCCTAAGGTGGCATTTCATAATTTTCACTGCAGTTTCTTTGGGAAATCCCTGCGTTTTTTGAATTTTAGGATACCGATGAAAATTGGTAACCTGAAAGTTGGAAACCCTATTTGATAAACTGCAGTGCTAGTGTTTTTACCTGTTTAGAATTAGAAAAACAGAAAACTGCCCATCTTACGTAAGGTTCCTTCCATCCATCCAACATCTAATGCATTTCTTATTACATAAGGTTCCTTCCATCCATCCAATATGACACCAAAATATGTAAATTGATTGAAGCAATAATTTATTATGCTTGAAGACTATATAAATGTGTCAATCCGCTATGATTCTACAAACATTTATATTGTCAAGAAATAAAATTGATTTTTTAAATAAAAAAAATCAGAAAACAAAAAAATTGGGTTTTCTTTCATCATAAGCAGGATTTTTAGTATCATTTAAATATATTTGTTTAAATTAAAAATATCTTAGAGCTATTTTGTGTTTTGAGCTCGATTTTTTAATCTATTTAACTTTATATTTGTCTGAGTTAAAACTATTTTTCTAAATTATGTTTGTACAATGGTTTCCATGCAGCATCATCCAAGTGGTGTTGTATAATGGGTTCTATAGAGCATCATCTCAGTTAAGTTGGGTTTAAATATTGACTAATCCAGTGGTATTGTGTAACGGGTATTGGGTTTAAACATGGACAAACAATTGAGTGGCATCATCCACATGGTGTGGTATAATGGGTTCCATGTTGTACAAAGGTGGTGTCTATGTTGTACAATAGTGTCACGAGTAAAACTAAGTTTCGACTTTCATCCTTCTCACTATTTTCAAACAGGTGAATATTACAGTATGGGTGAAAGTTGGGTACTTTTTCACAATTATGCGGTTATCAAACACCGCCTAAATTTAACCGTTGCATCATTTCCATAAAAAGAAAATCAATACAATATGGGTATGAAAAAATAGCCGGCTCCTATTTAAAAAGGGAATCCGCCATTCATCATCAATGATGAACGATGGATAACTGATGTGCCAATAACAAACACGGCAAACTTCCAACAATCAACTATTAATATGCAACATCTGTTATTGAGTCGTTATGTATAAGGAGAAGGAGAAAGTCACGTATAAGAAGAAAGATGAGCAATGTAGATTACCCACGTCTGTGTAACTTTTTTTTAATGCTAGAAAGAAAAGGAAAAAATCTTCAATCTAATTTTTAGAAAAGCAAAAAAACTACAATCTTAACTGTTAGGTACATAAGGATAGAGGGATGAAAATTTTAATAGTTGTGATTGAATCAAAGAAAAACCATAAGCTCATAGTTCCTATTGATGAGTATTACCAGAGCTTTGTTGTTAGAATTATGTATATATGTACGTATGTATGTATGTGTGCATGTGTATATAACAACACTCATGAGTGAGGTTCTCTAGTACTTTACTCATAGTTCATCAACTATAGTCCATCAAACGGTCCAAGCTATATGATGGTATTTGAATTTTAATGATATTTTATATATTAGATTGATCTCAAATTTTGTGGGTGTGTGCATCTCAGTGAGATAGACTTAAATAAAATATTAGAAAATAATTTGAATCATAATACCAAAATACCCCTATGAATTTGTAGGGATACTCTTATTATTTTATTTTTTAATGTCTTATTTTGGTGTAAGTTGGTACGATGTACACACGCCCTAAATTTCATATGAATCTGATTTGTATAAAAATTATTAAAATTTAAATACTATCGGACAACTATGACCGTATGATGGACTTTGCACGACGATGAGCCATTAGTGAAATATTGTAGAACTTCGTCCATGAGGGTTTCCAAGAGTTTTCTATATATGAGGTATCAACCTTATACTGGAAAAGCAAGGTGCACCGCAGAAACACAATGGAAAAGGCTGCTATATGTTTGATTATATTTTTAACATAACCTAAATTCCTATCATAATACACTGTTGAGAAAACTCATTTCTTGTTTAGGTCAATGCAGGATAAAGTGCTAGATCCAGACTAAGTACTGACCTACACAAACAAAATTTGATACTTGGGCATCCTAAAAAGGCTAGGGATAACATCTAAAAAATGAACCCCTAGTCTGCATCATTGATCTTTTATTCACCCTTTACAAAGCTATATGGTGAATCTATACTCTTTTATTCCGCGCTCCGGCTTTTGCTCATACAAAATATACAGTCATCTAAACTATTTGCTTTATGCACTCTGGTGCATAGAATGCACTATCCCTCCATTCACCTCGAGATTTATTATTGACAGAAATACCCCTTTTATACTTTTACTAAAATCATGAGGACTAGGGCAATGTAGACATATTTTGGATGAGAACAACTTTGTACTTGCTAGCAGAATAATGAGCGATTTTCTTCCAGTCACTTATGAGATAAAACATTATCCTTTTAGAATGTCGTATTAGTTAAGGTATGATGTAGAGATGAATACCTCATAACCCACTCAAGGATGTAAAGATCGTTTAAGGCCATGTATCGCTTTGCTTACTGCAACTACCCGACATGACTCTGAACTACCCAATAGAATGTTCGATGGCTATAAATACATCACAAGCAAAGCACGGCGCATCCGGTAGCAAAATCCATTTGTAATCGATTAAACATAGGTTTTCACTCCTCCTTGTATGAGGATACTTAATGTAATTAACAAATACCTTGGATCCTAGTTACCCATGAATAAATAAAGCTCTATGCTAGAGTCTTGTTTGATGTAATCTTGAGTTGTTTTATGAATTTACTCTCGCATTTGACTTAAGATCGTCCCAAACCCTCCAATCAATCATCTCGACCCCAAGATAACCCATTGGTCATAGAAGGTAATTCTTTTAATGTAATCAATTGGTACAATAGATCTTCTAGACCTCCGTGGCGTTTAAGATCTATATGGTTGCAGGTTGTAAAGATCACAGTTGATCATTTTCTTTGCTTCTTCGATCATGTTTATAGAGAGCCCATCTCTATTGCTAATGATCCGGCTAAGAAGGGGGTTTCATAGTCGCTTTAGTAGTTTCTAATTCTTTAATTTAGTTTCAAAATGATTGTAGTAGACTATTGAGTTGATGAAATTGATTACTCTTATAAAAAAAAAATCACCAAGACTCTAAGAAGTATGGATGCGAAAAAAAAAAAAAGATTTCAAATACTAGAAACAATGCATCGTGTAATGTATTATCTAGACCATCCATTTTCAATATTTTCAAGTGTTCATAAATCTGGTCGATTTACTATTCTCGATTACTTAAATTTCATGATTATATATGAAAATAGATTTATAAACCATAATAAACATTTCAGGAACCCCTCGGCATCAATTCAGGGTGGTACGTGCACGCATTACTTTGATGGTTTAAGGCACAACCTCCTGATATAGACCTCACCCTATACAAGATCGATTGGACTGGCTTTGTCAAAGAACTAACAGCTTGCGGCAAACTGACTTCCAACAAGGACATAGACGGGTTACGTGTGATTCTTCCTCTGGATAGGTGATATTAAATCTTGATAGGCGTTTTTCCGTTGAACCCTCCAAAAAAACCCACGCCACCTATAAATGTAGCCCTATTTTCGTACAATGGAAACCGCATAATAAACGGACGGACGGTCTAGATTGCTTGAGTCATTTCACATCCTAACCATCGTCGTTTGAGGTTAAGAGCCAAGAGTGTGAGCTTTCCAATCATCCCGTGCCACCTACTGATGTGGGCTCCACGTGCTTCTTTGTATGTGGTATGCAACTCTCTAATCCCTTTTATGGGGTTGGAGTACACAGCTTATCCTACACGCAAATAGTCAGCCCAAAAATTCTGGGCATCGAGTCATTATCTATAGATTTTTCAAAAAAAAAAAATTCTAAAATAAAAAGAAAAAGAAAAAAATGAATATGAGGGTGAAGTATTAAACAATTACAATTTTAATTATAGCGAAAAAATGTATATAAGGGTGAAGTCCTAAACAATTAAATTAAGCCGCCCCTCAAAAATTCACGACAAGTGATTGTTTCTATACCTAAAAATTCTCAAATAGAGATTTTTTTTATATCTAAAAATTCTCAGATCGACCTCAAGATGTAAAGAAAAAAAAAAATAGATTTCAAGTCTTAAAAATAATACATCTTATAATATATTTTCTGACTATCAAGTTTCAAGATTTTCAAGTGTTCATCGTTATGCTTGATCTACACATTTTCAAAGCTTTAGATTTTTAATTAGAGACGAAAATAAATTTTAAAGCCATCATAAAGATTCCAAACATTGTTCTACACTATTTTAAGGCGTGTTTTAATTTGATTGTATAGGGCCGCAACCTTATACAAACCACACCCAAAATAAAAAGAGAGCACGGACTTCGTTTAGCACGTGGGTAGTTGATTTTTCGTTAAATCTTCTATGCTCGAGTCTCCCGAAATTCAGAGATATTTCCTTGGAACGAAATCCTCCGAAATTTCGGAAGTTTGCTTTGGCCGAAACTGAAATTAGCTTGCTCTAGTTAGGAGAGAGAGGAGGGTATTTTTGTCATTCTAGGATAGCTGCAGCAAATATTGTAATTTCCAATACAATTGGCGTTTGTAATTATTAAATTGTTTTTCGGGAATATATTTTGTTGGGTGGGCCCATAAAAGACGGCAGAGCGATTCAACCGCCGCCTACTTTCCAGCTCTTAGGGGACCAAGGAGGAAAAAAAATTCTTGTAGAATTTATTACAAAAATAAAAAATCAAAAAAATCAAAATTCACCCAATTAAAAGGGGAACGGGAAAATAAAACCTCGACTCACGAAAATAAGGTCGAGTTTATTTAATGAGAAAAAGGGGCTGGTTGATAAAAGACGAAAATACCCCAGGTAGACTTTAAAATGCGGCCGGTCGTCGTCTTCTCTAATTGTTGCAGTTGCAGAGGGCGGGGAGAGAAACTATTGAGGAGAGAGAGAGAGGAGAGAAGCCATCAAGAAAAGAAGAGAGAAGAAGGAGGAGAAACCGCCAATAAGCGAAGTTGGAGAAAGAAACCATCAACGAAGAGAGAGAAAGGAGGAGAAACCATCAATAAGCGAAGTTGGAGAAAGAAACCATCAACGAAGAGAGAGAAGCAGGTGAAGCTCTTTAATGGTGGAAGCTTGTTGATTTGCCTCTCTAAGATTTGAAACTCTCTTGATTCGCTTTCACCTGTCTTTCTCTTGAAGCATTTATCATTCGATCCATAAGACTTTTTATTTTGCTATAAGCTATAATTTTTAGGGTTTGTTCTTGAACCGGCCCTCGTCGTAATAAATATGTTCTTTGATTTGTGTGTTCATCTTTTTCTTTTCTTTTCTTTTCTTTTTTTGTTTTTTGGGGGGAATGGATCAGTTTTTGGCTTTTTTGCAGGTTTTGAAGGTCTTTGATGTCTTTCTATGGGTCGTGAATCTTTGGCCATTTAAATGATTTTCTCTCTCTTTATTGCGTATGTTTCTTTTCTTTTTCTTATTTCTTTCATATTTCCTGATGATGTTTCAGGATTGATTCTAACAGAAATTTTAATTTGCTATTTATTTTTTGATAGGCGAGTAATTACTTCGAAATTTTAGAAATTATGGTATTGTAGAGGTCAAATTTACTCAGAGAAAGGCTTTCCATTGAATATTTGGCCTTTTAAATGGGTTCCCTGCCTCCAATCTTCCAACTTTTTTGTTTCTGTTCCTACCTATTTTCTGAATTTCTTTCACGATGAATTATTGTTCTTTGTGGCTTTCGTGATGAAAGGTTTGCAAAGGCTTAAGAATTGAAATTTCTTTGGTTTCAACTTTCAAAAATGCTGATTTTGCCTCAAAATAATTTTGTTTTTATTACCGTTAACTTATTCAAAAAATATATATATATATTTTTTTGTTTTCATTTCTTTCTGTTTCCTTTAATTACCTTAACTCATCTGTTCTGTCTCAGGTTTCAATCTACTCTTCGATTATGTCCGTTGTCTTTCAAGTTTGAAGTTTGAACAGTGTATTTAATGGATTCAAATGGTTGCTAGCAAATGTTCTTGTATTGTTCTTCTCAATACTCAATATTTTGCGCTTTTCAATTTTTTCTTTTTCTTTTTTGGGGTGGTCATCTGTGATTATCATTTGTATGAATTTATTTATTTGCAAACCTTTGTTTTTGGGGGATTATTTTTCTCCTTTAATCTGACTGATAATGGGACATCAATCATTTCAATCCCATATGTTATTAATATTATTTTGTTAATTGTTGTTAATATTATTCTGTTTGGATTTTAAATCCCCTTTCATGATTCATATATGAAGTTTCCATTTACGGGTCCTGAAAATCCTCATTAACCTTAACCTTTTTCTCACCATGATTCCCCCCAAAAGAAGCAACCCTTTGATTAATTCTGTTGCTTTTCTGATACTCATTGTACGTCTATTTTTTCCAGTTATTCTGTCAGCAAGCTTCAAACCACCAAATAAATATATCCAGATCCTACTAATCTTATTCCTCTCATTCGTTTTCTGTCTATTACCAACCTTTCTTCTCCTCTCATTTTCTCTCTCTTAAATTCTTTTTTCCACTCTTTGACTTATTTTCTCTCTATAAATCTCTGTTTTCCTTTTACTTCTTGTTTCAGGTAGGAAACTTTCCTTGTTTCACAAGATAGTGACGGTTACGTGCTCTGCAAAACCCTAAATAGTCACGCGCACCCAAGGAAACATCAATCTAGCTACTCGCCGGAAAATGGCCGGAAATCATCGCGGAAACCTTTTCAGTTGACTTTTGGCCGTAAGAGAAGCACGCAAACCCCCGTACCCATGGCCGTAGAACCGAAGAAGAAGATAAACCAAAGCCAGCTACAATGGAAAACCTACGCCTCTAAACTCGTGGAAGCCCTAAGGCATGTGAGGAAACGGAACGGAAATTCCTCCAAAATATCGCCAAGCCGTCAGATTCGAGAAACGGCAGATCGGACGCTTGCCATTGCTGCAAAGGGCCGTACTAGGTGGAGCCGAGCCATTCTAGCGAGCCGCCGATCAACCACGTTAAAGAAGGTCAAACGGGCCGGTTTGTATCGGCTTCGGAAACCCGCTCATACGAAACTGGTTCGGGCCACGAAGCGTTCATCGGAAAACAAGACCCCGGCAATAGAAAGAAGGGTTTTGGCTCTAGGTAGGTTGATTCCCGGCGGCCGGAAAATGGGTTTGCCGGTGCTTTTAGAGGAGGCCGGTGACTACATATCGGCGCTAGAGATTCAAGTCAAAGCTATGAGAGCTATAGCTGAGTTGATCGGCTCCGCGCAGCCGTCCGATCGTCAAGAGATGCAATAATTGGTTTGTTCTCTCTTTGCTCTTAGGTTTTTTTGGGCGGCCTTGACAATGGTATTATATCATATCGAAATTCTTGTATTTTATTGTATACATCATGTATGTATGTCACATATATAATTAATGTCTCATCATTTAATATGCGGCCATTGAGCTAAAGTTTCTTGGAAGGTCCATGTTACAAGATTGCCATCTTATCATACCGTATTTGATGTGCACATATGATCATACATTTGTAGGTCACGTAACTTAACCGCCACATTCAACGATCACTTTTAATATGGTTGAAGATTGGTTAACAACTCACCTTAACCTTGGTATCATAATACTACTTTAAACTTGTGAGTTAAATGGACTTTCATAATATACTTCCTCTTTTTCGGAGAAGCCCGCCAGCCAAACATGGTCTTGAATGCCATCTAATGCCAAGTGAAAGTAGCAGTAGTTTCTTTAGACCTAAGGATTACTTGGGTATCCTTCTTAGGCTTGAGGAGTTAGTTCTTAACGAAAAATCGAACCGAAACGGCTAACTGGCCATAGGGTTAGAAGCGGTTTAGTATTAATCGGTAAATTGGCTGGTTCGACTAGCATACCCAAACAAGTCCTCGATGGTAAAAAAAAAGAGTGTTAACAAAATTAAAGAAAAGTATAAAAAAATCTAATGAGATATGAAAAGTATATTTAGAATATAATTAAATAAAGCACATTAAAATAAAGTTTAAAACTAATTTAAAAAATAAATTTTAAAGGATTGATTTGTGTTTAGGGGTGTTTTCCAATTTTTTTAAAAACGATTATAAAATGTTAAAATAAGTATTAATATTGAAAAAAATTTCCAAGCTTTGTCAAAATGATAAAAAAAAAAAATTAAGAATACATTAAAAACAAAATCAGCGATTTTTTGGATTTTATATATTTTTTAAAATACCTAACCAATTCACCAAAATTAGGTGAAACCAAAATCAGCCATTCACCAAAATCAGGTGATACCAAAAAACGGCCGGTGGTCGATTTGATCTAACCAGGCGGTTAGAATTCGAAACCAAAATCGGCCAGTAGGGCGGTTAGAATTCGAAACCAAAATCGGCCAGTTTTGACTTTTACCGAGCAGTTAGAATTCGAAACGTTCAAATTTTTTTTTTACATCTCAAGTTTGATTCCTATCATCGAATAGCGCCTCATTGCATGTGCGTGCCTATTATTTGGGAGAACCACACCAAAGTTGGCCTTGGCATTGCCTCTTGAATGCCCATTTTGTCGTGCTTGTCATCGTAATAGGCACACGAGAAGCCAACATACAAGGAAACCAAAGACCTCTAAGCCATAGAGAACTATGCCATCGTGATATCCACCGCCCATCTCCACCACAGACGATGGAGATCATTTGTACTTAAGCAAATGTCTCGTTGTGAACCCATATTGTAGGTACATTTCCCCTTAGTACACGGCCAGATTTTCACCATCAATTTAACCCATGAATCTCCACATTAATTGGGAACCAAATCTAGGATCACAGCCCAATTAATAGGGATGCCCCCCATCTTTATAGAAAGTCCCCCTTGCAGCTCCATATTTAGCTAGGCGAAAGTGGCAGTGCCCCAATAATAATGCACCGCAAAATCCAAGCATTGTAGACAAATAATGGCCGAAAAGAAAGGAAGGAAAAATAAACGCGGACATTATCCAATAATTCAACATATCGTTTTGCCAAATTTAGAGAGAGATTTCTTGTATTGAAGGAGCAAAAAAAAGTTACTCTTCCATTGAGGAAGCAGTTAGTTACCTCTAAATACCTGAGCCATGTGAAGGAATGTAAAAAAGTCAATGTGATTAGGGTTATGTCGTGTCCACTTTGAGGCGAGACGAGGCGTGGCGTGGATTGGTAAGAGGGAGAGGCGTTGGCATTGGCATTCGTGTGGCCTACTGCACGTGGGATGTCTATCACATGGACTTGGCATAGCCAGGTTGGTTGTCTATATCGATCCCGACGATCCCACCTTTGCCACGTGTACTCCACATGTCCAACGTTACACGCAGTTGGGGATCCCCTTCGATCAAATCAGCATAAATGCAACCTTTTTGTTTTCTTTCTCAATTGCAAAACTAAAAGAAAATTGCTTCCTGGGTCCATCCCCGCACATTTCACTATACCGCCTCAGTTGTCCACACCCTCCACCAAAACCGGATCCTCCAAATAATATCCTCTTAAAAAAAAAAAAAAAAGTTAACTGGACGGTTCAAATATTTTCTCCAAGAAAATATTATTTTTAGTTTTTACATTTTTTTTATTTTTCATATTAATAATCTCCATGTTAAAAATTATACATTCCCTAAAAATTAAGATCAAATTCTATTTCAAAAATAAATTAGTAAGAAGCCCACATTTCTACATGTGAGTATGTCGACTCATAGAAAATGTGCCCAATAAATTGTTTTGTTCATTAATACTCATTTTTATATTTTTTCATTTTTTTTAGAAAATTTTTAAAATAACTCTTAGAAAATATAAAATGGGCTAAAATTCATTTTTTTTTATTAATTTTCAATTTCATTTGAACGGGTTTTGTTTTAATCATTTTTTATATGCTTTCCATATTTTAGTAGATTTTTTTTTTAATACTTTGTTGACCGTCCGAGACTTGTCCAATTAGAGTGGTTGAATTATCCGGTTTACCAGTTAAGCCGATTAAACCGCTTCTAGCCCGATTCCGGTTTGATTTTGTCAACACTGGTTTGTGTATCCATAATAGAGTTATTTGAAGATATCAAGGGCATTACATAATCATTTATTCTTCTACATCTTTGTCGGATGAAAGAGAGGGAGGGGATGGTAAAGGCGAATGCAATCGCACAAATAAAAAGAGTCGAGAAAGAGAGGTAGTGGAAGGGGATGCGGCAAGGGATAAGAGAAGAGATTACTGTAGAGAGAGAAAGTGGCCATTCGATAGAATGTGTTATTGATGAGGGAGAGAAGGTTGCGGTGCAGTCATGTGAAGGGAGGTTGCACTCATAGCAATGGGAAGTGTTCATTAATGAGAGAGCATGATTGCACTTGTAATTAAAGAGGACGTTTTCTTGTTAGTTACAAAAAAATGCAAAGCACTCATGGGAAGCACACATTCGAGAGAGAGAACGAGAGCATGTGATGGATGTTTGAATTCCCAACTAGTGAGGACGTTACAAAATGCAGAGCACTCATACCCAGAGAGAGAGAGAGAGGAGTGTGATATGTGTAGGGGTAGCAATGGGCTGGGTGCCCCAGCCCGGCTCTAGAAAAACTGGAGTGGGCCATGAAATTTAGCCTAAGGCCGAGCAAACATGGCCTGAGAATAGGGCCGGGCAGGACCGGGCTTGGGCCAAATCCATTCCGGTTCGGCCTAGCCCAGACCGGCTCTTTCTTATGTTATTTTCTCTTTTGTTTTTATCAATTTTATTCAGCCCTGCCATGCCAAGCCCCATATAGGACTAGCATAGGCTTGGGCCGAGGTTTTTTAAGGGTGCCCACCCTAGCTTATGGGAGGAAGGTACATGTGAGTGAGGGGCTAAGTGGACATTTTGGAACCCTACAGATGGGGTGACAATAAAGTGGAAATGGAATGTTGTGTTGCCCGCCATGACAAACAAACGGACGCTACCATACAAACCTCGCACTTTTTGGGTGTCACGTCCAGACTTTTCATATGGCGCTACACACAGGGTCCATCCAGGACACGTGGATTCATACTCGCCGTACATATGGCTCTAAAAAATGTGATACCTAAATGGCCACGTGCACTATTACGGTTACTCCCCTGTAAATAGTACGTACGTGTTGTCAACACGTGTGGTACGAGATGGACCAAACGGCCCAAAAATGATCACCAAGATAGCGATTGGGGTTTGCTTTTCCCTTGTACCAAGGACCTTATATGAAGCCAATTTAATTTAAAATAAAATAAAGGGGGAATTTTATTTATATGTTATGTAATTCTATTATATAACAAGGGATAAAGCCAAGAGAAAATAAATGGGTACTTTCTTTTAGTGGTAGTCAATTAAGGAAGAGTTAAGTATTTTGGGTTTATCATTTAACAAAAAGAAGATGTGGGTTCTGAGTTTGTGAACTTCAATTAGACCTATGGGTCATTTTCAATTTAGGGTAGGTAAGTTGCATTTGTACCTTAAATCTACAGTAGTTTAGTTTTAAATTTTAGCCACTAAGACCATGGAAACCCTAGCTCATGAATAATTACATGTCACTTTTGTCATGTCGTTATAATGTTAGGACATAATCCTTTACATAAATTAAGGTTTGCATTAAAGACGATGGAAAGGTATTAACTGAAATAAATAAGCTGTAGAAAATAGGATGGGATTGAGGACATTCTTTAGTGCCTAATTACCCAAAAAAAAAAAACATTCTTTAGTGCCAAAAGATTTCATGCTCATGCAAGAGTATATTGTTTTTCTACTCTCTAGGACCCAATTTATCCTAGAAACATTTTTTAGATCTCTAATTTTAGAGTTATAATATTTATAACCCGGTGAACATGTGCCTAAAAAAAAAAATTGGATAATTTAGTGGAAAAGACAGATCTCTACCCGTTTTTTTAAGTCGATTAGGAGTTATAAAGGTATTAGTAGGGTGGTGTTGGTGGTGGGAATAGAAAGCATAACGTAGTAACTAAGGTGTGGGGTGAACATGTGCCTAAAAAAATTCCCATCATAATATTGCACAAAGAACATGCCAATTATTGGAGGGAAAGATCTAGATGTTCAAGAGCCAAAAATTCAAAAAAAAAAATTTCTTTAAAGACAATCATCAAGTGATAAATAAATCCCAAATTTTTTAATAACAAAAATTCTCTTAAGTAAATATTTTGGCCGAGGGAGTTGTTATACACTATGGTTGGCAGGCGCATGCTATGCCCGCTTTCCTTTTTGATTACACGCAAATCTTTTTCACTTGGACATGGACGAGTTACTCAGCTATTTATACGTTGATTTTTTGACTTGATGCTCCTGGGATAGATCGGTGAGTGTTTTTTTTAGTTATTATCCGGATTTTAGATTTTCTTTTTGTAGATTTTTTTTTTTTTTAATGCTCCAGCTAGAATTAATTTTTTAAAAATCCATTTCTCTATATCATTTAAAGCAGATTT